CTATAGGTTTAAAAAATATCGTATGGTTCTTTATTATAAAACCGCTGAACGTTTTTCGATGATGATTATATTCCATAAGGAGACCCCTGTCCTGAAAGTTGGTGCCGATCTGACAACCGAACGTGTCTGCAAGTGTATGGCCCAACAGACAAAGTCTTCATAGCGAATCAAACGTGTTTATGGACAAAAGGTCGGCTGTCCGAGACTCCTATGGTAAACAGTTGTATTAAAGGTAATGACTGGGCACATTTTTCTTACTATGCTAACAAAAGTCATACGAATTAATCTAATATAATGATTAGTCAAATATTTGCTGAAAAAGATATATATTGGCCTACATACACATCAATGTTTAAAAACATTAAAAACTAGGTGAGCATTCCAACAGACCAATCAAATATAAATATATGACACACTGTTTAAGAACGCAAACTATTCGCAAAAAATATTTTTTATTTGAAAATCATAAAATTACTACATGAGTTCTCAGTATATCAATGATACAATATTTAAAAAGAAACGCCTTCTAAACCAGCGATGAAATTGTAGGCCTAATCATTTATGAATGAAACGCTATTTTAAATAGTACAGTCGGCTGTATTGTCGAATGTAGTCTATTGATTAGGGAAACAGAAAAAAAAAAAAATTTTTTAATACTCTATCAAATGTCATAGTGAGCTCAGTTATAATCTTATAGTCTTATAGTTATAGGAAATAAGTTTTGCATATTAATTTACTCTAACAATCGTAATCTAATAAATATATTCATTTAGTAACAAATGGTGACGTTTATAGAAAAACCAATGAAATCTGATCAACATCTTTAATCAGTCTAGAATTAACTATGTATACATCAGTATTATATATATAAGAATATTTTCGATTATTGTTTTATACTGTCATCGTTTTATTTTTTTTTTAAAAGAGCGATTTAACACTGGGAATGTAACAGAAGTTTTGATACCAACAAAATCAGGCTGGTGTAATGTGTTTAATATCGAAACAAACACAACAAGCGCCTCATTTAGATGTAGGACAAGGCACGATGGAGTTTTTCACTACGTTTGTGAAAAAATGTATTGGTGTAAGTTTAAAGTTGAGATGTACTTGTCATGCATATATGTATATATATATATATATATATATATATATATATATATATATATATATATATATATATATATATATATATATATATATATATATATATATAAATATATATATATATATATATAAATATATATATATATATATATATATATATATATATATATATATATATATATACAGACATATATCACACAGTCTACACATATGCCTATACCATCAGATATATCCACACAAAACATCCTTTTTACGTTAATGCAACCCCCCCCCCCACCCCCCGCCCTTTATCAACACCTTTAAAATTAACGCCACCATTTCCGGTATTGACGTACAAATACTGTTATGCATTATACTAAAATTTAACAACAGTTTCACATTAGATACAAACCTATGTTGGTGGAAACAATCACTGATAAAATCTCATTTGATAGCCAGCTGGCCGCCAACAGTTCCCTTCGACCCACACAATTTCACAGAGGAGGAAATGTACGAGAAGACAGAGACAGATAGTAATGTCAACGTGTCAGTGGGTGTTGTCCTAGTCTCATCTGTCAGTGTTGTCGTTGCATTGGCTACTGTATGCTGCTGTATGCTTGCTTTAGTCAGTAAAATGAAAGGTAATAGAAAAAAAAATATTCCCATTTGTTAGATTTTACAGTTTACATTAGAACTGAATGCATTAATTATTGATAATACTGTTGGGTATATACTTACTAAATTTTGAACTCAGTTTTTTATTGAGCTTGTGCTATGCGACCTAGTGATAAAGCAGTGCTTCTTAGCCCTTTGGAGGTACCGAACCCCACCAGTTTCATTCGGGCATTTACCGAAACCTTAGTAATTGTTCTATCGTCCGCCCTTTCAAACTCGTATCATGAATCGTGGGTCGGGTGTGTCTTGACCTCTGTCGAACCCCTGAGACTTCTGGGGTGTAGATCGAATCCAGGTTGAGAACCACTATTATAGAGCGATCTGAATCTGCATAGTGCCCTTGAGTTCAGTGGCGTAGCGAGGTCGGGTGTCACCCCCCCCCCCAAGAGGCGTAGCGACCCTTCACGGGGACAAACTTTCAAATTTTCGAATTGCACCACCCCTCCTCAAACTTTTGATTTGCACCCCCCCCCCTCCCACAAACTTTTGATTTGCACCCCCCCCCCCTCAAACTTTAGATTTGCACCCACACTCAAGTTTTTCCCTATTTATTTTGCTGTTTTTTTCCTTGGTGTCACCCCCCTAAATGGTGTCACCCGGTGCGATCCGCACCCCCGCCCACACCCCCTCGCTACGCCTCTGCTTGAGTTTACACAGATCTAGTGTGTACCTGATTCGAGCTGGGGATGTAAAAATTTGCGAGCCACGGCACTGTTGGCTTTGGTTTAAGAGAAACGTCGATTTATCCTTCATAAAACCATAGGTAACGACCATTTACATTTGCAACGTCTTTGCATTTGTTATGGTGAAGTAAAGTACTTTTTCAAACCTAAGAGTCTATAGCAGGGTCGTAGCGAGGTCGGGTGTCACCCGGTGCGGCACTTAATGGTGTCACCCCCCCCCCCCCAGAGGAGTAGCGACCCTTCCCGGGGACAAACTTTCAATTTTCGATTTGCACCCCCCACCCCCTCAAACTTTCGATTTGTAACCCCCTCCCCCCCCCCTCAAACTTTCGATTTGCATCTCTTAAAAGACTATTTAACACTCGAATTAATCACTTAATTAAGTGGAATTATCATTTTTCTATGCTGTTTTTTGCCATTGTGTCACCCTCCTAAATGGTGTCACCCGGTGCGGTCCGCACCCCCCCCCTGCTACGTCTCTGGTCTATAGTACAGGTGAAATATAATACACATGTTTCAGTTACCTCGGTGGATGAACGTATATTATAGTAAGAGCTATGCCCAGCCGCTATTACTTCCCTAACTTGAATCAAGTACCGACTAGCGCCTATTGGCTCAGGGAAAATCTACTCACACAAAACAGGGATTTAAACTCGAGACTTTTGAATAAGCAGTCGTTTGCCTTACAATCCGACCACTTCATCCCATTTACATTTACTATAAATTATGTAAATTAAAGCGGTTGAGAGTTAGATTACTAACTCAAAAGGCTCGAGCTCGAATCCGGGTTTAAGTCGGTACAATGCCCCTGAATCCGTCTAACTTTGATGGGTAGGCCTAATCTAACTCCAGTTTGGAAAAACAAAGGCGGCTAGTTACAATGCTGACCACACTATCGCTTCTTATGCCGATGTTTCTGATGTAGATGTAATCTGATTAACATGAGTCTTGGGCACTAACGGGAAAAAATGATAATGTAAATTATTCATTCTTTTAAATGTTTCAGTCATTATATTTTTTAAAGTAGAATTTGATTAATATTTATTAATAACCTTTCAGGTGACAGCATGAACGACCAACCCAATGGTGAGGTAGTATACGACACCATTCGCTTTCAACCTGCTAATGTACGTATTCAAGCTTCAATCAACTCTCTGTATCGGATTCTCCAGTTGTCAGCGGTAGTTGGGAGAAGTAGAACCAATACAACTACGGTCCTTCGACATTCAGAACCATCGACTGTAGAGAGAGATTCAGATGCAACTCCTCCAAAACTACCGACTCAACGTTCAACCACGTTTTCAATGCGTCGTGTTGTTGATAATAGTAATTCTTTTGACTTTGGTTTACGAGATTTGAGAAACGGTGAAGTTAACCCAGATGAACAATGCATACCCTTAGATGATGTGGAAGAATTAGGCCCTCATAATCGTGATGATGTTAATGATACTGGTGATACGATTAATAGAGATGAACAGTATATCACTCCGATAGATATTATACACTTAGACATTCACAATGTTGATGATGTGACCATTATAAGTAATGGAGGCAACTATGACCAACAGTACATTACTCCAGTGGATGTGGCTTACAGTGATTCGTGCAGTAATCTTCAGCCCGTTGGATTAACTACAGATCAACAAAACGAAATTCTTATACACGAGACACTGATAAGCCCAGCTTGTATAGATGAAGCTACACCCGTCGATCTAGAATGCAGAAGCCAAGATTACATTATTCCATTAAATATATCTTCTCTTGAATTATCACTTGAGCAACATTCTTCAGACTTCGCCGATTCGATTTTATCAAATGTCATTATTGGTAAACCAGTAGAATTAATGGATAATCTTTCAAATACAGATTCAAAACATTCTAATGGTAATATTGCGAACTTAAATTTAAAAGATCCTAACGAGAAACTTCCAATGATAGAATTAACACCTTCAAATAATGACGGCTCAATTTTAGATTTAACATTTTCTAATCTTACGTCGATTTAGAATAGAGGTGAAAGTTTTCTTAAATAACGTGCTCCATAGCTGGGGACAGCAACCGATCTAGTACAAAAAAAAACCTTCAAAATCAAACAACTCATGCCTTGTTTGGACACAGGTTTTGGAAGCAAATCCACAAAGAAAAGCCGGCTGAAATCGGAGACAGCTGACTCGACAGCGCGTAACTGTTCGACAGGTGATACATAATCGTGTTGGATGAAACACCGTCCAACATAAGAATTAAGAAGGAAGGAGAAGAAACAATTGTGAAAGTGCGATCAGTAATATTTTATTTTATTTTTGAAATTTTGAAAAAATATTTTAGAAGCAAATACAATTTTAAAAAATAGCGCAATGCTTTTATATTGTAAATCTGCCATCTGAAAACAGCCTAACAGAAATTATCATATAACAAAGGTTTGGCATCCAATATATTATATTTTTAGTTAATCGATTTTAAGTTTACGTTGAAAAGTCTCCAGTGATACACAAGCTATATGTTATAAATAATTTATTCTGATTAGTGTAAACAGGGAACTTCGACAAATTTAGAATTGTTTCATTTCTTTTTTTTACCCTGTTGAGGAATCGTTAGGTTTTTAATTTCATAGTAATGCGAATAGACACTTTCATCGTTGGTATCATTTCGCTCATCCTCTACGCTGTTGTATAAGGACAAGTATGCACTTGCGTTTTCTGTAACAAGGATATTATTACATAAACATGTAAAAAATGTAAAATAAATATATTTAATGATATGTTCAATGATTAAATAATGTATTCGACTGATGAATCCATGACCTAACAAAGTCTAAACGAATATATGTGTAGATTTTGAAATTTTTCAAGAAAACTCTACTTCTCTAGAATATTTTTTTTTTACACCAGACATGTAATTTACAGCGTTTGTTTACGTTAGTATTACATTTTGTTTCATCATTGGCTTATCTAGAAAAATAATGATAGCTCGTTGAATATTGTTTTAAAATGTAATGTTTTACTACACAATAATTACTAAAAGTTGTTTTATGTAACAGTGAAATTGTGCACTATAATATCAGACTGGACAAGAAATTAATGAAGTAATGGCTAAATGACTTAAATGAGGCATGTGTTCGTTAAATGAGATATACTTGCTATTATAACCCTGGTGACAAACCTTTGGTGCTGTTTGTTTCTTCTAGTAGGGGTGGTGGTTTCTGTGACCTGCAGACGTATTATTACAATATTAAACACAATTGATGCTAGAGAAAAGGTATTGTTTGTTTCAAAATTTCATTGTTTAGTCGTAATTAATATTACAAAAATACAATAATATTACCCCGCCTGATTTAGTGGGACATTTTCTTCGTTTCCACAATCAGCCATCTCTAAATTTAAAAATATATAAGTTCGATTTTTTAATTTTTTTTAAAATGTATATACAATAATGAATGTACATCAATAAATAAATTAGTTTTATACATTTGGTAATTACAAAGCTACATTTTCAGCACGATACTTTTATGTATCAAATCAGCGAGATTTTATATTTCAAAACAAATACGGGATTATATCCCTTAAACTTTGTCGAATATTTGTAACAAGGTGCATGGGACTTACTGTTCGATCGGCCTGTAGAAAAGTAGAATTTTGTGACAACGCTATTTTTTAGTAGATTTTTTAGGGAAAACCCATATATTGAAAATTTTCATTGAATACGCATTATAAGGTAATACAAAACTATCAAACATAATGAAATTCCCATTTATATAAACACTAATTTTCCAACCTCTAATAGAATGGTGCTGGAAAATAATTGCTAACCAAAAGTGATAAAATCGTAATTAATTCTTATGATTTTTGAGAAATCGGAAATATCTTAAAATACTTCTCCCGGTTACAGAACATCCTCAAATTTTTTGAAAGAATTCTAGACAACACGATCTTATTTCTAAAAAATGTTCACCTAGTTATAACGGCACGTATGTTATCGGTATTTTAGGAAGTGGAAAAAGAGTTAATTACCACTTGTGGATATTGGAGTTCACTCTAAATTGGGAAATGTTAATCATGTATAAATTCTTATATTTCATCTAACTGAAACAGTAATAGTGTTGTCTGGTTTTAAATAGTTTGAAGTACCACATCCATTTATCAAAAATCTTTCAAAAGTTGATAGAAACATTCGCGTACAATTAAATACTTACATGTAATATTTCGTCCACCTAACTAGAACATTGCTCTATTCATACGCATTTATTTCATTACATTTGAAATTTGGTCAACCTAACTGAAATGGTACTCAATTCTTCGTGTTTATATACACACAGACGCACACACTCAAACGCACACGAACACAAGCACACAAAAAAAACACAAGCACACATACACAAATACAAACATACACACAAGAAGGCTTAACTGTTTCCGGTTCCGGAATTCTGTACAACGTCAAATTGTGTCTAAATCCCGATTAAATTTTTTTGCACGATTACAATACATCCTTATTATTATGTATACTAAAATGTAGTATTGTGTAAAACGGCGAAAAAAGTCAAAATGTCATTTATCTTTTCTGTACCATTACAGTTCTTCCTCTAAAATATATATACAATGAAAAAAAAAAGAATTGAATTTTTTTTTTTTTAAATTTAGTAAACTTTCTTACCTATAACTACATCTTCGTATCCTTGGTTCTGTATTGAGGAGCTAACGTCAATGATACAAAAACAAGTAATAATAGCTGCAGGTACTAAAAAAATCGTTATTACATATATACACAGTGACATTAAGGGAATATTATTCAATTAAAGTGATATCGCCGTTACGAAACAGTCTAACAGCTTGGATAAAAATTGATTTTAATTGTTTTCCCCCGCTACAACTTCAAGACGTTGTATGATTATAAACATGAACACAATGTTTTTTGTTTTGTTTATAGAAAAAGTATGTAGGACTTCCCGAGCAAATATCTATATATATATATATATATATATATATATATATATATATATATATATATATATATATATATATATATATATATATATATATATATATATATATATATATTAAAGGTTCTAAAACACTTTACCTTATGCATGCGCTTGATTGCCTCTCTGTGAGAGAGAAATGTTGAATAGTTCGGCAAAATACTAACTACTATTTTATTGTTTAAGAAATATTTAAAAAGAGAAAAAGAACGTGTTAATTCCCTATTATAACATAACAAAGTATTTAGCTTTTCTAAAAACATATTTTAAGTGAAAAATTTGACAAAGATGTCAATTCTATTGAATTAAATCATAGTTTGCAAAATATAGCCGTTTGCAAACAACAACAAAAAAGCAGCTATTTTCATGGGATTTATGAGAATGTCTGTGTATGTGTAAAATGAAATTTTATTTAATATTTTTTAGTTTTTAAAATTTTTACTTACGAAATTGCTCGTTTTGAAGATTTGGATTATCATTTCTAGAGATTGAAAAGAACTATATTTTAAAAATAACTTATAATATAAAAACATATCTTAATCTATGTTAATAATAAGTGTATTACCTTTCTAACAAAAATTCTTTTTCAACCGAGTGTACGTTACTCTGATTTTCTGTAAAAAAATTCAAATGGCTATTAAAATAATTGTTAGAAAAGAAAGTAATTTAAATTTATATTATTTTAAAACACAATCATTATATATATATACTAGCTGCATCCCGTGCTCCGCCACGGTAAATCTTTTTAAAATATACCAACTTTGGAACAGAACAAAACAAACAAAAACACAACACAAACACAAACACAAACAAAACACAACCACAACCACAACACAACCACATTACAACCACAACACAATCACAACACAACCACAACACAACCACAACCACAACACAACCACAAAACAACCACAAAACAACCACAACACAACCACAACACAACCACAACACAACCACAACCACAACGCAACCACAACACATTCACAACCACAACACACGGTAAATCTTTTTTAAATATACCAAGTTGGGAACAGAACAAAACTAAATACAACACAAACGAACGCAAAGAAAAAACAAAAACAAAAAAAACCAACACAACACTCAATATAAACTCAATTTAAATGTAATCATAAAGGCATATTGCTCACAGTCTATCCCGTAGCGCCAAATCGCGCCCTTTCCGAGCGCCGGCGGAAAATTTCGATTTACACCCTCCCACCTCCCTCAAACTTTCGATTTCCACCCTCCCCCCCCCCCCCCCCCCTCTTGCTACTCCTCTGTTATAAAACCCCTAGCTTTTCCGCAAATAAATTAAAGGCAGTATTTAGAATATCCGTGTTTTACCGACCATATTGCACTTTATAAATTCATGCATTTTTTTCAGTACTTTTAAAAATTTACAATAAAGTTTCATGACTAAAACCATTGCGCACCTAATGAACGTGATGGCTTAATATAGTAATGGAGAATAGTTGATTAAAAATTATAATTAGTAAACAGTACATTCAGTGAATAAAATTAATAAAAGATAGCCTTTTATCAATCAATGCTAATAATAATATTCCAACAATAATGTACTCTTACAAGTCTGCATAATTTGCATTCACATTTTGCTAATTATATTATTCCAACAATTATTCCGTCTTGCAGATTTTGCATTCACATTTTTAGCGTGAGTTCAATTTATCTTTGAATTACCTCCATTGGCAAAATTACTAAGCAGTTTAATTAGATTTTTCTACCGTACTGTTATTATGTTATTAAAATGTATCCACTTTTTCTAGGAATATATACGAAAATGATATTTGACAATGATCCTTTTAATATGTTTTAGCAATGTGCGTGTATTTAATATTTTCTTTAAGTTATGCAAAAGAGTAAACACAGTGGCAATTATAAAATAGCTCTATGCCGCTATATAAACAAACCCTACTCTACTACTTATAATAAGACACTGCGGTGCACTGAAAAGCACAGCATGGTGCGAATGTTTACTTTTATAGTCCCAAAATCTATAGCGATGACGGACGGACGGACGGAAGGAAGGAAGGAAGGAAGGAAGGACAGACACAGCCCGCTTATATTATAGATATATATATATATATATATATATATATATATATATATATATATATATATATATATATATATATATATATATATATATGTGTGTGTGTGTGTGTGTATGACTGTGTGTTTTCGCTATCTGTGTGCCCCCCTCATGTGTGTGTAAGTGTTTACCTACTGACTCACCCGATCGCAAAAAAAACAAGAAATGAAAAGCACAAACCGGATGTATTAGCTTCTTCCCTTCTGACAGCAATCTTTCTATTAACAACAACAAAAATTAATCAATTTTGGTGTAACACAAATGCAATCCAGCCTTAAGCGATAATGTTTTTTTTTGTTTAATGGCCATAACATTAATACCTCGATTATTATGTGAGTTACAAGGTTTTAATATAGCACTTTATATTTTTATGTTGTTAAAATATTCTAATATAACAATCTAGGTGAGTAAATTCTATGCAATCTTTGTTAAAAAATAACCTTAATGAACAGTAATTTCCTATAAATAAAGCCTGATTTTCTTACCCAAACAAATTTAATATCTGACGTACTGAAAAAAATGGTAACGAATATATATATATATATATATATATATATATATATATATATATATATATATATATTATTTATTTATTTATTTATTTATTTACATTAATAAAGATTCGTTCTTTGACTGAAATATGTAAAGCAAAAATGTGTATATTAAAGCTAATTAATTCAAATGTATAAGAAAAAATGCATATATTACCTGTTTTAAGAATAGCTGACGCAAATATTATTAGAATTATCTGAAGTAGACACACAATTATTGAGAAAAATGTACTCATCTTACAATAATTTTAACCCGTGCTGAGAAAAATACATTACACATATAACATTTGCCATAATCATTAGCATGTATACAACATACCAAACAATTTATTTACACCATGTCATATTTTTGTAAGTGTTTATGATTTAGTTACTGTACATGTTATCACTACTACAGTAAATGATGTTATTTACTATAGGTGTAGTTCCCATGCTTGATTTGATAAGAAGGTAAATCATTGCCGAAGACGAATTTACCAATTTGAGTTTGTAAGGTGTGTAAGTATCACAAAATGTCTCGAGTTATTATGTTGGGATTGCTAAAACTCGAGTCCAAAGTAAACATTGAAGTGTCTATTTATCCCCCAAGAACAATAACATTCGCATATGAGCAATTGTACAAAAAAAGGCTATATATATATATATATATATATATATATATATATATATATATATATATATATATATATATATATATATACAAATATATATATATATATATATATATATATATATATATATATATATATATATATATATATATATATATATATATATATATATATATAATAGTATAGCAATAATAATTCCATATAATAATTGCAAATAAATTCTATGTATAAAATCATATTTACTACTTACCAATGTATTTCAAATCAAGCAAAACTTACTCAAACCTCGCATAAGGTTGAACCACACGACGTTGAAAATATGATTGGCTGAAATGCTGCAACAACGTACCCACTTGAAACTTGTCGAAATCCATGTAAACCGAAAGTTTAAATCAGCTAATACTCTACTGACAATTGAAACCAAAAGACAATAAAGAACACTTGAAATCCAGTTGACATAAAATATTTAAGTGTAAAGAAAAAGAATCAATTACTAAACACTTTAAATCAATTTAAGTACACAACTTAAAATCTTCCAAATAAACCGGGAGTGAAACCCCTAAACTTTCTCGAATATTCTAGTATAAAACCACGAGGGATGACAACTCAGGACATAGACAATATTTATAATCCATTTTTAATTACTTAAATTTTTTATAATCGAATGGAATCTTGTACAAAAAAAGAATTGCTCACCAAGTGAACGCCTAAATAATAAAGGATGTGCATAATAGTGCGCAACATTATAAGTACTTTATAAATTTACATGCGTTTTTTTTTGAGAAATCGGAAATAGCGTAAATTACTACTTCCGGTAAACGGAAATTACTCAAAATTTAACAGAAGGTAGAGAATTAGATCTTTTACTTACATATGAAATTTCATTTATCTATCTAAAATAGTGCTCAAGTTATAGGCTTTTGAAAAATTCAAAGTAGAAAAAGTACCACTTCCGGTTATCGGAAATCGCTCAAAAGTCGATACGTATCTACGATTTTGATAGAATACTAATATATGAAATTTTATCAACCTAGCTGTAACGGTACTCAAGTAATCGTGTTTACACACAGACAGACACACACACACACACAGACACACAAACATACGGACAAGATTGCAAAATTATGTTTTTCCGTATCAGTGAGGTGTAAAACGTCGAGATTTGTAAAAATCTCATTTTTTTTTGCACGATTACAATACTTTCTCTATACTTCGTATATACGAGAAAGTAAAAAAAAAAACATCCATAATACAATTCATGTGCGAATGTGTTTTTTCCTTATTATTCGATATGATTAGCAAGAGTAATATTCTTGCTAATGACAATGATTAGCTTTTTCTTTCGACGCATTGTAATCAAAGTCAGCAACTATATTAGTAGTACAGTAAAGCAACAATCTGTGGCTTAAATTTAAGGGATCTAAAAAACTAGTTTCTTACTTCCAATTAGGGACCGCAAAAATAATCGCTGGCTCACATTATATTACAATCATTGAATGTCTCATAGCCCCTGTTTAAGGCTTTGATCTATTTTTGTAATAAACTTATATATCTATATATATTATATTATATTCATAAAGATATATACATAGGTTATATATATATATATATATATATATATATATATATATATATATATATATATATATATATATATGTATATATATACATATAAATATATATATATATATTTATATATATTTATATATACATAAATATATATATATATATATATATATATATATATATATATATATATATATATATATATATATATATATATATATTTATATATATATATATATATATATATATATAGGCCTATATATTGACATTTTATTTAAAACATCAAGACACAATCTATCATGTACTAAAATGGAATGTGTCAAGTTTGACCAGGAAGTAAAAATACGAACAATTAATTGTTTTGTTTTTTTTTTTTGCAGATTCAAACTTGATGGCACAAAACGGAAACACTTTTGGATACAGATTTGAATAAAGGAAACGTAAATAATCAAACTCAAGTACGTAGATCGTCCCTGAGTTAAGCCAGCTCTAATAATTACTTGACTTATTTTAGGAAAAGTAAAGGCACAATATCGCTCTATACGTTATGGTCACAAAAAAAGATGAACTCTTCTTAACTTGCCCTTTGTACCGCCTTTTTACAAAAAAAATGTAATTACTTTACTTAGATTTCCTAACAGAGTGTACCGAATGAAATTTCACATGAAAGTAAAACATCTAATTTTCCGCCTTCTGTTTAATTTTGAGCAATTTCCGTTGACCGGAAATAGTAATTTTCACTCTTTCCGTTTTCTAAAAAAAAACGCATGTGAATTTATAAATTAGGCCTACTAATAATATTCCGCACTATTATACACATCTTTATTCGGCGTTCGCTTGGTGCGCAATTCTTTTTTCTATGAGATTCTATTCTATTTTTAAAAGTTTAAGTATTTAAAATGGATTAAAAATCATAACTATATCCCGAGTTCCCATCCCCTGTTGTTTTATATAAGAATATTCGAGAAAGTTTAGGGGAGATCACTCCCGGTTAATTTACCTGGCAGTGATATGGCACATATATAGTTCAGTTTATTCTAAAACAGCAGTCTATAACATTGTCAGAACAATGGCTAGTCGCCTCTATTTTTCTAACATCAGCCACATACCTTTTCTTATACACAGCATTGTAATTGTCAGTAGAAAGTCTTAGTTATCCACGATATTAATATTATGCTGTTGTGTACATTCTCTAATGTAACACAAGGCACTGGAGTAGTGCCATCAGGAAAAGCGAAAGAATAGGCGCTTAATAGAGAACTGGAGGCTGTGTCTTTTTCTAGAACTTAAACTAGGAGCGATGTTTTCAGAGGTGGTAAAATTAATAGCCAGAAACGCGGGAGAAAGCAAGTTTATGTCTGAGGCCCTATATTCAACAATTAGAAAAGAGGACTAAGTCAAGCTGTGTAAATTTTAAACTCACACTGTTGCGCACCGTACATAGCGCACATATCTTTATTTTGAAACGAAAAAACACCTTCCCTGAACGAAGAGAGAAATGTCACTAAGTGTAGATATTTTGTTGATGCTTAAATAAAGATCGATTTTATTAAATAAAACTGTAAAAGCACACACAAGTAGGGAAATAAGGGTTGCTTTTTTGTGTACGTTTAATGTATGATTAATCATTTTTGCTTAATTTGATATTAGTTAGTTATTATTAGTGTTACTATGCATCTAGCCAGCGTATTTGGAACCGTATGGAGTTTCTAGAAAAGTTTAGATTATATTATTATACTATTATCAATGGACACGAGCGAGAAAAGTCTCAAAGGTATTTGAGAGGTGTATAAATTCATTTAAAAATCATGCACAGAGTAGTTACAATTAATATGTTTATAAAATCCTGTCTGTCTGGTTTTTTTCGGACTTTACTAAAGATTGGATGTATTTGATGTTTATAATATTTTCGGTAACTAAATAAAAATTAAAAAAAAAAGCAAAAACAATCTGGTTTTCACGTGTAATGGCGACATAAACAATGGCATCCTGCTATTGGATAGGCCGCCATTGATTTTATTGTACACATTGTAAGCTAAAAATAGAAAACTAGGTCATGGGGTTTTAAATTTGCATATTAATTTAAAAACTTGATCTGCAAAGTTTTGTAAACAAATAGTTATCGATCACTAAGTTACTGTACAGCCAATCAATATTTGTCTTACGAAAGTGAAACATCCGGTTATAACTTAGGCTTGATGAAAATAAATAGAAATGTAGCCTTAAACTCAACAAATTATTTTCAAGTTCTCTGGATTGCAACTTTTATAGCATTTATTCTAAAAATATAAAATTTCTAAATTAATTTTAGGCTTAAGTTTTTTTTTTTTTTTTTTTTTACGGTCTAAATCTAAAAAGCACGTTTTTATTCCATGACAACAACATTATGGAAGGAATCTCGTCAACTCGCTCGCCTCCATTAGGTTAACTAGAGCTACACATAGAGATCTAGATTGTACTTATTTTAGTCAGTAAGCGATTAAGCTTGAAACTAAACTTGGTAAAACCTTAGTTTAGCGTCGGTTATTATTCCGGAATGGTATAGCAGTAAAAAACAGTAAAACAATGGCAAAGTGTGTCACACAGTTCCGGTATCCACCGGAAGTACTGTAAACCATACTTTATTTGGCGTCATCTTTTATTTTTAATACAGAACGTTTGAAATTTGGATAGATTTATTTTAATTGCGTGTTAAATACTGCTTTATTACTCATTTTGTATAACTAGTTATTTTTGAGTGGTTCAGCTAAATATTTCTGCTACTAAACATTGTTTAACAGGGTTCGTACGCAGTCTTGAAAAAGTCTGGACGGGTCTACACTGTGGTATGACGTTTTTCGCTGGGTATCGCAGAAGAAACCTGATTTCTCAGTTACTATGCCTTTGGGAGGGGGGGGGGGGGGGGGGGGGAGTGTAAGACCTGTTTTTTTTTTTTTGTTGTTGCTTGACTGACCGTGAAAACGTTAGGGCTAGACTAGCCCGCCCCTCATAGTATCTAAGGTCACTGATATCTAAACTTGTATGAACTCACCGTGACCCCAAGTACGTAGATGGTGCTGTTTGGCTAGGTGAGGGAGGAGGGGGGAATAGACGTTAGGTATAGTTCATGATATGACGTATTAGACGGCTACTTTGACCTCACAGTGACCCCTCCACCGTCTCTTGTTGTGTGGGGGGAGGGGTACATGTAGTTTTTAATAGCAGACAAAAGTTTCTCAGCTATAAGCACAAATAATGGTGTGGTTACAAATGTCTTGTTTCATTTTCAAAATCGTGTACGAACCCTGTTTCTAGTCACTTTTATTCCTTTTTTAATCATTTTTACATCTTTGTAATAATTCTTACTATTTTCGTAATCTAGATTTTTTCCTTGGCCTAGCAGCTAGCTAGATCTAGATCTAATTAATTAATGGTCGCAAAAAAACATACAAAAAAAACCCATTAAATTATTACACTTGACTTCATTATTTATATTTATACGAGCCGACCCGCTGCGTATCATACGCCGCTATTTAGTTGTTTTTTTTTCTACTTTTCAGTAATTTATGATTTGTGAATTTGACAGTACCAATGCTGCCACTGAAAATATTTGCTTAAAAACACTAAACCCCCCTCCCCCCACGTGAAAGCAGCCTCCTCTTAGTTACCTCCTGTAAGTTTAAAATCGTTTCAAACTAAATTATCTGCCCCTAATAGCCGTCACCAAACCCGTCTCTATGATTGTAAAATGTAAACAGCGTGACCACAGCTCACCAGACAATGTGGGGGTGGAGTAGGGGTGGTAGTGATAGTGATAGAGAGAAAGAGAGGGGACTGCAAGGAGGCGCTTGCAGCTTGTTTTCTAACGGCTCCCAGAAGAGAATTATATATATATATATATATATATAGATTAATATATGTTTATTTTTTATTTTTATATCTACTAATTTAAATCTACTATTATATTTATTCTTGTTTCATTTTGTCGATTAAACTTAAAAAAATTAAAATATTAATTTACTACAATCGACTTTCAATTAATTTATATTTCAATGGTCAAATAAACCATGGTTTACCGTAACTCTAGTTACCGAAACTCAACAAACATTACCTGATAATTTCCGACCCTAAACTAAGGTTTTACCCTAAACTTGATATTAGGTTCAATTTCAGATTGCCATTAATAGTGCGATTATAAGGCTTCTCTTTGTGATACGGTGGTAAATATGCCAAGAAGGGATATACAGTTTTAAGATCGTTTATGCTAAGGTTTATAAACACATGTCCGTTTCAGTAAAGGCTTGTACAATAGTCCGAAATTCGATTAAGGACTAAAAAAACTATCAAAAGGTACACTTTGTGCTGAATCTGAAAAAATACTAAGTCTTCTGGCTCAGGTTGTAACCCCAAAATATAAACCGATCTGAAAAATATTGCAGAAGATTTCACTTTACACGAAATAGAGCTTAACCTGGGGTGCCCATTGAAAAATCGTAATTTCCAAAATAAGGTCAACACTAATATATACATATATATATATATATATATATATATATATATATATATATATATATATATATATATATATATATATATATATATATATAATTTGTTTTCAGTGTTCTAAGCATGAGCTTCATTGTTATAAAATTGCTTTTTATAGGATTCAATATACAATATTCAATTGCAGGTACGTGTCTTTTAAATTAGAAATTAATCGCACTAATTCATTTTAACAAAGCTTAAACAAGTTTAAAAGATGTATAAATATTTTGAAAAAAATTGAATAAAACCTACTTTAGTAAACTTACATTTATTTTATAACATAAGACGGAGCTAATCAACATAAATGTCATCATTAACTTTACTCGTTCGTGCTCAAGACACATTGGGCTAATGAAGTAGAGTTAATCTTTTTTCATAGACCTCTGCATATGAAGGGAAAGTGTGGTCAGCATTTACTTTACTTTCCCTAACGTGAGTTTGGTATCCATCAGAGCTGGATGGACTCAGTGACGCTTCATTGATTTGAACCTTAGAGATTAGCAGTCACTTCTGCTAGACCACGCCCTCCCATCAACATATACATATATAACGGGGCATAACTAGCGATGGTTATCGGGTAAATACACAAATAGAAAGCTCAATCTGAGATGCTTTACTGAATCATACTCATTCAAACAAGTTACTAGATGTCTTTTGCTTGGCTTTCCTGAATGATTGCAGTATATTCTTTATCAACCTCGTGCTATCATGAGAAAAACTGTTACTAGTTAAAGCCACCCTTAACCTAACACCAAAGTAAATAACTATTAAATAAATGGGAGGGGGGGGGGTTTGGTAGTTTGTTTTCTCCAGTGACGCAGTGTTTTTCTACATCTCCCAACCCTTATTGGACAAATTATAAATGTATACATCTAACAAAACAAACAAAATAGCCTGTGAAAGCGGATGGTTCGGACACAACTGCGAATACAAATGCCATTGTGCTTCGAACAAATGTGACTCGTCTGGCGAGTGCACTGATGGTGCATCATGTGTTGAAAACTGGTTTGGTCCTTCATGTCAATATGGTAAGAACTTGATATTTAAGACGTATAGACGTATTGTACAGACGTAGTTCTTCGTTAACAGTATCATATAAATCTACTACTTCTACACTTATTATTACTGTCTTTAGTCAATCTAGTTTCGAAAGCTATTGGTCTAAACAGAAATGAACTAAACGATGGAAATTTAGACAGTTGCATGGACACGAGTAGAATAACAATCGAGTGGGACAACTACTACGCATTCTCATGGCTTAGACTCGTAGTTCCGAAAACAGGTAACATAACATTAAAAATTAATTAAGAAACAATATACTAACTTAATATGGTTTTCTATTTATTTTGCAATGTATCGTCACGACCCCAGCTTGAATGTTCTCACGCTCAGATTTACTCCCCCCACCCCCTCCCCCACCCCCACAAACGAAATGGAATAAATATAAAAAATATATACGTTTACCAGTGTCAGCCCTCGTTTCCCCCCTGGATATTTTAGTAACCACCCCCACCCCCGAAAATATCAAGTGACCCACCCCCCCTCCCCCGGGGAAAAAATGTCTGGAAGAAACTCTGGTTACGTTGTGTTGTCGCCCCCTCCCCATTCTCCTCCGTCTAAAACTGAAGCACACATTACATTCTTAAACTTGTTTTTAATAAACGTGTAATTCAAGGTAGTTTTTTTTAATCAAGAATCAATCGGTAATGTGGCCGATGTCTCTTTCTAATCGTTTTAATACTTTTTTAAAGAAGAAAGAAAAAAAACCAAAATGTTGCTAAAATTCTTGACTCGTATCGATGTGGCGATACGAAAATGAAAATGATAATTAATAGTGCATCTTCATTGAACATCTAGGTGATGAAGGTTTGGTGAACGTACAATTTTATATTGACCAAAACTTTGTTCAAGAAACGTACTTATTCAAACACTACGATGGAACGCGGAACGCCGATTTTCACTTCCTGCTGAAAAGTTTAGCCAACAGTGTTAGGCTGACCTTTGAATTTTTAAGATCTGTTTGTGAAGTACAAATAAGTGGAGGTGAGCCTTAAATAATTTAGTTCAAACATGCAGAATTTTTTTTTTATTAAATAAAGCGCGAGATACCTCCCCTAGAGTTTATAATATAACATTAAAAGAGGGGGGGGTGCTTTTTGTGTCATGAGCTAAATAATTTGTTTTTCTAACACTTAACTTTTCTAAATTAGAATCGAGTAGAAATATCGTATGTGAACGACATAAACGTTAACAATGTGGAGGCATTGAGCGGAAAATTAATACTGTATAAAGGACATTTTGATTACTTTTTGAAAAGTTTATTAAACATCTAATTAAATCCTATCTTATATCGCTGTGCATTGTCAACGAGTCTCGTCCTACGTATAAGAGTGAATTTTTGTGATATCGGAAACACCGTAAACTACTACTTCCTGTCACCGAAACTCACCTTACAATTTGAAAAAAAGTAATTAAAAATAAGATCGAAAACCGATCTAACACATTTCGTTTACCTAATTGAAACAGTATTTTTGTTATCTATATTTTAAAAACTGGTAATAGAGTAAAACATATCTTCTAGACCTTGGAGATAACTTAAAATTAAAATGCATTAGGACTTCGATATAATATGTCGTCTACCTAACTGAAACAATAATCAACTTACGGTCTTCTTAAAACATTTAAATATTAGCTTGGTGACATAACAAATGACCAACGGACAAATTATCACAGGACAAAATATCCCAGGAAAAATATCTAACGGACAAATTATCTCAGGACAAAATATCCCAGGAAAAAATATCTAACGGATAAATTATCTCAGGACAAAATATTTCATGTTAAAAAATGTCAAGTTCCATTGATCTCAGACTAAATATCTCAGGCAAATTAACTCAAAGCAAAATATGTAGGCCTATAATATGTACGATGATTTTTATCGATTTGAATAATGTACACAATTCTGCCATACGGTTTTTTCTTTATTTTATTACACATACTAATATTAAAATTTACTAAAATGAATTAGTAAAATTTAACAAAATACATAATACTAAAATACCTAATAACGTGAGTATTGTTTCTTGTAGATAGACGAACCATTTCAGAATGCTGAAAGTATTACTTTACGCCAGGGATAGGCAACCTGCGGCTCGCGAGCCGCATGCGGCTCTTTTGATTTCAAGATGTGGCTCTTCAGTTCCATGCACAAATATTAATAATTATAGTATTTCATTTTCAAAACTCATAAAAATATTATACTGTAAAGAAAAAAACAACTTTAAACAGGATAAAACCACTCATCAGAGAACAAATAGAGTAGGTGAAGTAGAAAGTATACGGACAGCTGACAGCCGCTTGGGCACCAGCCCCTGCCCCACAATCGTGCATTAGCCAGCCCCTAGCAAAAATTCAATGCTTGCCACTGCCCAAGTGGCAACTTTTTCGCATATCGTTAAATGGGGAATGTTATTTTATTCAGAATGCATTCCTCTACCTGTCAGTATGCATTAATTTGACCTGAGTAATGTAGTATTTTAGCAATTAGCTACCTACACTTGAGCCAGGCACTGGACGTTGGGGTACAAGTAGGGTGGAAGATAAGCCGTGTGAGAACCGAAGGACAGAAGAGACCGGTAAAGCAATCAAACTGATACCCAAGCCAGTTAGTCGGAGCTTGCCATGGTGAGCGCTGCTTGATTATGAGAGACATCTCATGGGCCAGTGGTGTCAGTAAAGGAAAAAAAAAGTTATTGGCTCCTTCAATGGATTGGGATAAGCGTATTCTTGTATTATAGTTATATTATTTTATTACTATTTGTATCACAGTAGAGCTAGCTAAAGCAGTTTTTGTGCAAAACATGTGGATGTTTTTATATGAATTAATATTAGTTCATATTTAACGCTACTTATTTTAAATAAAAAATCAAATGTATTTACCTAATCCTTATCAAATACCAAAATATTGAAAAAATAATGATGTTAGTGGCTTTTTGAAAACTGGAAAATTTTAAAAATTATATTTTTTGGCTCTTCCGATTGGTTGCGTTACGATATATCCGATTTCTTTAAAAAAAAAAAGCATATACTGTTATGTATGGAAAGCAGTGGCGTAGCGAGGTCGGATGTCAGCCGGTGCGGCACTTAATGGTGTCACCCCCCAGAGGCGTAGCGACCCTTCCCGGGGACAAATTTTTGATTTGCACCCCCCTCAAGTTTTTCTCTATATACTTTGTTATTTTTTGCCTTGGTGTCATCCCCCTAAATGGTGTCACCCGGTGCGGTCAGCACCCCCCGCCCCCCCCCCCCCTCGCTACGCCCCTGATGGAAAGTACTAATTTTCCGGTCCATTACACGCACACTGTTCGTGTTCATTTGGTGCGCGATTTGATTTGATTTAGTGCGCGACTCTATTCAGTTAAAAAAAATGCAAGTGTTAAAAAATTAATACAAACATTTCTATAGTCCTTGGATGTTTCACCCCTTACTGTTTTTTTAAAATTATACAAGAAATCTCAGGGGATATAACTCTAGCTTTATTTTCGTTGCATTATCATCACAAACATAACGATTATGTTTCTTTGCTGACTATTGTCCAGAATCAATCTCGTTCCTTAAAAGTGCATTTAATTTTCTCTGATTTAAAGAAAAAAGACATACCTTGGAATTCACCTTTAATACACCATTGTTTGCAAGAACTCTACGAAAAATACCTTGGCTCCAAAACGATCCTCGTGAACTGATTTCTTAAGTGTGACCAAAATATAACAAATTACCTAAGATAGGGGTCGGCGCGGTCAAGTCGATTGTTGCTGAACCGAAAAGACTCGAGTTCGAACCATCGGGCAGATGAGGCTCGTTAGCTGAGGACAGGCACTCTTCTAGGAGAGACAACTCTAAAATCACACAACTGCTGCATTGTAGTTTGTTCTTGGTTGGACAAAGGCTATGGAAGCAAACCCAAAAAGACAAGCAGGCTAAAATCCGAGTCAATGGCCTCAATGGCACATAACCAGTTGACACATATGGATAGTTGTGTTGGAGGCGTGGTCGAATCAACAAAGCTCATGGTTGTGAAATTCAAAAAAAAAGTCTCGAATTCGAACCCTCTGGTAGATAAGGCTCGATCCCTTCCAACACCAAAAATTAAGAACGAAGAAGATAGATAAATAATAGATAAATGATTCCCTCTGATCAAGATTGGTTAACCCCATTTGACCGGATTTTCTTATGTTAAACAAGCCTGCTGTGTTTTGACATTTCGTAATTTATCAAACCGTCAAATATTTTCTAACTATTATGATGCGTAACAAACAATTGTTTAAAATGTTCAAATCGACTAATATCATCATGCATTGTAAAAAATGTTTTGCAGATGAAATATTTTGTCTGAGATCCTTTGTTTGTGGTATCCTTTTACCTGATAATTTGTCCTGAGATAATTTGCCAGTGAGATTACCTGGCATTGAGATAAATTGTCCAGAGAATGTGTGTACTAAGATTATTTATACGCGAGTTATGTTGTCGTTGGATATTTTGTCAGATATAATTTGTCATGGAACTTTCAGCTGCTACAATATAATTTAATATCATCGTTACGTTAAATCTATCATTTCGTAGGTCGAAATGTAGCGCTGAAACAACGGACGGAGCAAACAAATACGATGGGAGATCATAACTCGTCCAAAGCTGTAGACGGCGATCCTAACGCTGATCTGAATCAGGGTGCATGCAGTCATACAGAGATGAATGCTAAGTCTGAGTGGGCCGTTTTCTTTAAACGTTCACAAAAAATAAACACATTTAATATCATCAATAGAGGTGGGTTGAGCATTAAATTTCATGGACAAAGTGGCGGACTGACTAATGGCTGACTCACGACTGACAAATAGCCTGCCTACAGATGTAAGATACCAAAAGTAAGAATTACACAAGTTATATTTATTTATCATTGTGACTGTGCATTTATAAAAAGCGTTGTGCAATATTACAATCTCAGATTATTTTTTCAATTTATTTTATAAAATGATTTAATTTTATCGATGTTAATATATATTTGTTTTATATAATTTCAAAAATAGCCATGTGAAAATACACGGAATTAAAATATTTGGCTGAATAAACGAGGCAAGCGTAAACACTATAAATTGACCAATTTAACGTTAAATTCAGCAGTTATATTTTTGTATTACGATTTTGTCAAATTAAAAACGCTACTACGTTGATTATCAGGTTTAACTTGCCTAAATTGAAAGTCATAAATGTTCACGCTGTTGTAATAATGGTCTGCAGTATTTTTTCTTTTAAACAAGCGTTATTCAAAAAAATAAAAATGCCCACAGATTCTTAACACAATTACTAACACTTCAACTATACATTGCCTGACAATTTATTATCAGATGAAAGACAAGAACGACTATGTAGTTTTACTTTAGACGTGTGGGAAGGTGGCATTGACAATGTAAATATACCTGGCGACGATATTGCTGAACCAGAATACTATATACCCGGGGAATTTATGCACGCAGATAAAATATCGATTTATGTGCTCAATAATTACCTTGCTCTGTGTGAGGTTGAAATCTATGGAGGTACGATGAATACACACACACACACATATATATATATATATATATACATATATATATATATATATATATATATATATATATATATATATATATATATATATATATATATATATTTGCATACATGTATATATATACATATATACATTTATATGTATATACACACACACATATATATATATATATATATATATATATATATATATATATATATATATATATATATATATATATATATATATATATATATATTTATTTATTTGCATACATGTATATATATACATATATACATTTATATGTATATACACACACACACATATATATATATATATATATATATATATATATATATATATATATATATATATATATATATATTTATTTATTTATTTATATATATAATTATACATATATACATTTATATGTATATATATATATATATATATATATATATATATATATATATATATATATATAAGCATACATGTATATATATATATATATATATATATATATATATATATATATAAATACATATATTTATATGTATACATATTTATATATCTTTAGATATATATATTTATACATATATATATATCTTTATATATATATACACATAAGTATACATATATAAATATAAAAATATCTTTATATATATATATATATATGTATATATATATATATATATATATATATATATATATATATATATCTATATATATATATATACGTGTATACGTGTATATATATATATATATATATATATATATATATATATATATATATATATATATATATATATATATTGATAAATACATGTATATATATATATATATATATATATATATATATATATATATATAAGTTTATGAGTAATTTTGTGACTTTCCGATTAAAAACTGTTAATATAAGAACTATTTTTAATATGAAAGTCGGTTTAGGCGTAGGTCTTTGATTCATTGGACCCATATTAAATGTAAGCTACATCAAATGTTATTAAAGTACCTTTTGTTTTTCTGTTGACAAATCAATGAACCTATTATTAAAACTAAAATATTAATGTACTGACACGTTTCTAATTGTAGACAATATGTGCGAAGCAAGTGAATATGGCCTAGATTGCGAGAAACGATGCAATTGCACTGGACCGTGCACTCCATCTACTGGAGCATGCTATACCCCTTGCAACCCTGGAACTGGGGGGTATGGTGGCGATGATTGTACTAAACGTAGGTTGGGCTAGGTTAGAATGTTTATATTCGGTTTTGTACCTTTCTATAAGATTATTACTTTAAATATTCGAATACAAGTTGATCTTAATGTAATATAAGGCTAGATTTTATTTATTCTTAAAGTTATTATAATATGCCTGAATAATATTTTATTCGTTTTTAACCCTTTATCTACTGACGGTACTTATAAGTACCACTTTAATTAAATGCCTGTATTATTTTTAATTTAATACGAATTTTAAAAATTATTGAAGTAATTAATAGTATTATCTCCCCTGAGTCGCCGGTAGTCGTAGGTATCATTGTTTTTTGAAAATTACTGGTGTGGCGCCATTTTCAATGTCTTGCTATATCGGTAGTTCACAATTTTTCTGTACATTTCTCACATACGTTCTTGATTTCCCTTTGTATTACCTTATTTTTCAAGTTTTCAACCTCAAATATTTTTTATTGGCAACTTCAATAGTCAGGCAAACACATTTAACTTCTAGTTATACAATTTTAATCAAATTGTCTTTGTATTAGATCGATGTTTCTAAGTGGACTTATAAGTACCGTCAGGGCACACGGTCATTTTTTTTAGATTTTTAGAAAATGGCAGATTTTTTATGTGGGGTTACATAAATATTGTGTTGATAATTAATTATCGAAATGTACTCAAAAAAATGATATTTACACATTTATAAGAAGTTTAGCATATGGTTTACCTAAGAAATATTGTAATTAAATGTTAATTTCTAGAAGTAAAAAATTAACAAGAATAAAGGTATCAGTTGCAGGCTCGTTTACAAGGTTTAGTTTACTTTATTTGTATACCAAAGCCTAGTTCTAGTTGTAAGATTTAATTTGTTAGTTATATTTACTGCACTAAATTGTCTTGCCTACAACAACTAGCATTTACGTAATGTATACATGTAGGCTAGTAATAGTCCATACTTCTGCATATAGTATTGATCTATATGGTAAATTTTAATCAGCAAACAGGAAAGGGTAGGCCACAATGACTATCCTAAACACATTGAGCTCACTTCTATTTGTGAACTTTGCACTGTAGTGTAGACTTGTCATAACATTCTAGTAGGCTACAATTATACTAGTATTACTTGTAGTTGCGTGCTGAATGACTAGGCTTTTGTTTGCTAATGCGGCTCATTGTACTAGCTATTGGAAGCTTCCAGCAAAAGCATGTTCATTCTGGCAACCGTTGCTACACCAGAAAGACCACAGACAAGATAGAGGGAGCATGACATGTCGACTACTTTTGCTGTGTTTGAGGCCTAAGATGTGTTCCGATAGAAAATCCAGTAAAAATCGTACTCAAAATATACTTTTGTGCTGTATTTATGTGTGAAAATTACAAAAAGTGATTGTTATAATGATTGTCATGTTATTAGTTAATAAATTGTATCGTTTGTTCCTGTTTTGTAAAAAAAAAAATTTTGAAAAAAAATGTCCTAGTTTACTGACGGTACTTATAAGTACCAATATCTGTTTGGGCCATTAAAAATTTCTGAAACGAAATTTCCTTCGATATATGCTTTGAATGTGCCAAAAGCAATATAGTAACACATTGTTTAAGTAAAAATCTCATTCAGAACATAATTCCGTAAATAAAGGTTAAGTTATTTGAAATATTCATATTCTAATCGTATTTTACTTTACAGACAAATGCCTTTTAAAATCGCGCTCGACTGTTTTTTTTTTTTTTTTTTGTTGTTGTTTGCATTGAAACGTCATAAAAAAAACAAATTTTAAAACGTTTTAAACTTTATTCACTTTATAGAAATGATCTAATCCGAAATAGGATTTAAATTTTTCACATATAGCCTATATATAGAACATACTCCAAATATGTTAGCTATGATGCTGTTTTTAAAAACTATATTTAATATTTTCTAATGTATTGCAGTAAATAAATTGAATGTAATTTAGTCAAAATGTATTAAGTTTTGCATGCACGTGGAAAGTTTCACCCGTGTATGACAAGGTTGAGGTAATAATTAGTAGTATCCACTCAACCGTGGATACAGGAATCGGTGTTACGAGGGTCAGTCATTAATTCTTTTATAGAGGGACTATTTTGGAGAAATCTGATTACGACATGTTTTCATTTTAAAAATATCATGTTAAATATATTTTATAACGCGGTGGTAATGACTCCGATAAAGGGGAAGTAAATGACACTAGTGAAATACATAGTGTGTGTATCTGGAGGGAGTGTAATATCATGTTGTGTTAGACTAAAATCTGTCACACTTTAGCAATAGAAATTGGCTAAACTGAGATGCTTAGAGCGCTGCAAAATTATGCTTTAATGGTTTATTGGGGTAATATTTTACAAATAACCCGGACAACGACGGGCAACGATACTTTTTGGACAATATATAACTAGGTAATTTTTAAAACTGCGCCTGTTTTTTATGAAGATTTTATTATATTTTATATTAATATAGATTATCTAATTAAAATTAAAAAAAAATTATTTACAACGTTATAGTCTATCGAATGTATTAATTGTGCATATAATCGATCTTAAATTAACTTAACACAGCAACAACACCCAACATAGAAATAACATTAAAAAAAACAAAAAAAAAAGCAATGAAAATAGAAATTTATAAAATTGCAAATATATTTCCAGCTTTAAAATGTAGACCGCCACCTGAAGTACCAAATGGCCAATGGCCGGGCTGTGCCAGAACATTCAATACACCGTGTCAGCTGGCGTGTAATGCAGGGTATTCAAGACAAGGCAGCCTTGACATAATATGTCAAGCTAATGGCACATGGACAGACCCGGGAAGATGTACAGGTATTTCTAGTAGATACTCGTATTCATAAAGTAGGCCTACACTACTGGAAGTATATATTGTCTACATATTGTCTATATAAATTCTATAAATTCTATTTCGTTTCTCAGGGGGGGGGGGGTGGAAGAAGAAGTTCTTTGAGGGTGGGAGGGGGGTGATGTTTGGAAGAAACAGTGTGACGTGTCTGTTTATGTGTGTGTGTATTATTTTTAGGACATGCATATGTCTAGTGTACCGTACGGCATCGTATCTTATTTATCGTACCGTACCGTATTGTATCGTATCGAATGGCATTGTATTTTATCGCATTGCATTGCATTGCATTGCATTGCATTGCATTGCATTGCATTGCATTGCATTGCATTGCATTGCATTGCATTGCATTGCATTGCGTTGCGTTGCATTGCGTTGCATTGCGTTGCGTTGCGTTGCGTTGCATTATGTACCGTTGCGTAGTGTAGTAAAGTGTAGACTATTTCAGTCTAGTCTAGTCTATACCAACTTGGCCATGGCAGTTTCGTCTGCTGTAGTCTAGTGTACTTTCATGTAGTTTCGTCTGCTATAGTCTAGTGTACCCTCAAGTAGTTTCGTCTGCTATAGTCTAGTGTACTCTCAAGTACTTTCGTCTGCTATAGTCTAGTGTACTCTCATGTAGTTTCGTCTGCTATAGTCTAGTGTACTCTCATGTAGTTTCGTCTGCTATAGTCTAGTGTACCCTCAAGTAGTTTCGTCTGCTATAGTCTAGTGTACTCTCATGTAGTTTCGTCCTATATAGTCTAGTGTACTCTCATGTAGTTTCGTCCTATATAGTCTAGTGTACTCTCATGCAGTTTCGTCCTATATAGTCTAGTGTACTCTCATGTAGTTTCGTCTACTATAGTCTAGTGTACTCTCATGTAGTTTCGTCTGCTATAGTCTAGTGTACTCTCATGTAGTTTCGTCTGCTATAGTCTAGTGTACTCTCATGTAGTTTCGTCTGCTATAGTCTAGTCTACTCTCAAGTAGTTTCGTCTACTATAGTCTAGTGTACTCTCATGTAATTTTGGTCTGCTATAGTCTAGTGTACTCTCATGTAGTTTCGTCTGCTATAGTCTAGTGCAGGGGTTCCCAACCTTTTGTTACTCTAGAGCACATTCTAAAATATCGGTAGGGTGGCGGGCACCACCTATTTTAAATCGACAAACTCCTTCCAGAGGCTTAGCGACCCTTCCCGTCACCCGGGGACAAAACTTTCGATTTGCACCCCCCCCCCCCCAACCCCTCAAACTTTCGATTTGCACCCCCCTCAAGTTTTCGATTTGAACCCTTTCTCAAACTTTCGATTTGCACCCCTCCCCTTCAAATTTTCGATTTGCACCCCCTCCCCCTCATACTTTTGATTTCCATCCCCTTCAACCTTTCAATAATGTTTATACAAAAAATTCTGTCTCTGTCGAATAGTGAGAGGCGGGCACATACGAATCGTTCGGCGGGCGCCATGGCGCCCGCGGGCACGGGGTTGGGAACCCCTGGTGTAGTGTACTCTCATGTAGTTTCGTCTGCTATAGTCTAGTGTACTCTCATGTAATTTTGGTCTGCTATAGTCTAGTGTACTCTCAAGTACTTTCGTCTGCTATAGTCTAGTGTACTCTCATGTAATTTTGGTCTGCTATAGTCTAGTGTACTCTCATGTAATTTTGGTCTGCTATAGTCTAGTGTACTCTCAAGTACTTTCGTCTGCTATAGTCTAGTGTACCCTCAAGTAGTTTCGTCTGCTATAGTCTAGTCTACTCTCATGTAGTGTAAGGTAAGCTAGTGTTTCAATGCAGTTTAGTGTACCTTAGATTAATCTAGTGTTTGTGGCAAATATGCTTTATCGAATCATACTATATTTAAATGTATACCCTCACCTATAGAATTGCTTGTTTGACCTAGGGTTTTTATGCGATGGACAAGAGTTCCTTAACACTTAAAAATGTGTTTTATCAGTGTTTAGTTACTATATAAAGACTGGTTGTCAATACTTGACGCAGCGAAAGGGTTTAATAATATGAGTCAATACGTAACTCAGTGAAAATATTTAACTCTGATTTAGCTCTCAAAACATGTGTGCTTAATTACATTAATTAATAAAGAAAGTAAAATTTAGCGTGCTGCATCCGATGAGCATGACAAGGGCTACTGGTCTTCAGGCGGAATGGTCACATTTGTCCAGACTTCTAGCCCCAATCTGGCCGGCTGTAAAATACATTTCACAAACTTCCTAACATTTGTGTGATATACATATTCATTCAGACATATACAATATCACATTAATACTAATAGTTTCGCTGTCTGTCTATCTATCTATCTGACAAGAACGCTCTAGAGAAAACACAAGCAAATTAAAAACATGCATAGTAATTCGAAAAAACGAAGTATGACGTCGTCACATTTAGCATAGAGTAGAAAATAATCTCAAGCCGGAGAGTGCACACAGTAATATGACGTCATTGATTCTCGAGTAAACATTGAATAAAAAGGCAATTTTGTTTAATCTAAATGGTTTGCTGTGAAGAGTTTCTTGCATACAATTCTTCGGGTAGGGGCAAAGCCCCATCCCCGCTTAAGAACGTCTGAGCCCCCCCCCCCCCCCTCCCCAACTCAAAAGAAATTTCTTCATCGATACTCTATAATAAAATTACCGCCTAATTAATGTGTCTAATCTAAAAAGTGGTTTTCTTGCAATTTCTTTAATGCAATTCTTCGGGTAGTGGCTAAGCGCGACACCAGTGTTTCTTTCAGACTTTTTCCTCCCCGGAGAGGTGTGGGGGTACTTGAAATTTTCGGGGGCGGGGGTAGAATTTTCGGGGAGGGGGCGGACACTGGAAAGTATATAATTATATATCGTTGAATGGGACGGTAGACGGGGGTGGTGGGGGGGGGGGGGTGGTTTTAGTTTAGAGAAAAGAGACAGCACTATCAGCCTACCGCCCGTTGTATCCTTTCTCAACGGGCCATTTTTCTCGTATATAATATTACATGCACTATATCACATTAGCCTGACATATGATCTACCATTAAAACTACTAAAATATCCTTTTTACTAATACATAGTTTTATACACTTTTTATAATAACTGATTAACAAACTATACCAGGTGGATAACCTATAACAGTACAGTTAATAAATGTAAGTTTTCAACTATCTTCAAATTAACCACAGTTCTCTACATATGTTGCGAAAAAAGTAAGATACATTTTACCGTAGATATCTCAAGTGCCTTAGCACCAAAGTAAGTATAATTTTATGCCAAGTGCCTTTGCAACAAAACCCATGTGCCTCCGTAGAGGGGGAGAAGGTAGAGTTACTGGACTGTAGCGTCCCTACACTACAGGACTTAGTTCGAGGCACGGTCAGCGCTATGATACCGCTGGTGTATGGACCAGGCGAGTACCGTTGCCTGATGGGTAGCATGAAGGGGTAAGAGGTGTAGACACTATTTAGATATTTAGAATCTATCATGACTGTGTAATCTTATAAACCAGGGGTCTCCAAACTTTTCAGTCCGAGGGCCGCATGAACTATCAAATTTCACTTCGAGGGCCAGTTTTTTTCCAGGCATGTCTTTGATTTTTCTGGACAAAGTTTCTCAGCCATCACCAACAAACGTTTTTTCCGTGGACAAAAAGGTCTCCGCGGGCCGGATAAGAGGACATCGCGGGCCGCATGCGGCCCGAGGGCCGTAGTTTGGAGACCCCTGTTATAAACTAATGCAGTGTAGTGTAGTCTAACCAATTTAAAAAAATATAGTGTATTCTACTATGCGATACAAATAGGTACCAAATAAGAGTTTAAATGATGTTTATTTTATAAATCAAAGCACACAACTAAATTGTTTAGAGAGTTGGCGTGGTTTCAAATGACTGTAATTTTTTTTTAAACTACTTTGTTTTTATTGCATCATTTTAAGGGGATATGCGCGGAAAAAAATCACAAATTTTTTTGTTTTTCGTCATGATGGGTTTCTTGCACTTTTGGATACTTTGTCCATTTTTGTATAAAGAAAATAATAACTTTAAAAAGAAAAAAATATTTTATGTGGTTGAATTACGATTTTTATGACCCTATTAATTAAAAAATAATCAATTTTTCCCAATCTTACAAGCTCTCTATGAACAATTTTATATCCGTCATTATATTGTATTTGACATCATTGGAAAGCTGGATTTCTCATGTATTTAATAAACTTAATTTCCTACATCTCGGAAACACCCAACGCTTACAATCGGCTTTGCAGTTTATACAGATATGGTACTTTCCTGACCTAGTTTTCTTTACTTTTGGCTGTTTTTCTCAGTTCGCAGGTTTTTAACACTAAAAAGCCTACTACTTTTTTTATTTATTAAACAATGCCAACCATATTTTCAGTAAATGTTCTTGATGCGAAAATACAACTTTTGTCACGAGGGAATTGTGTTTGCTTTCTTAGAAAAAAAGTATTTGGTAATTAATATGCACATTTTGAAACTTTTGAATACTAAAAATGGTACGATTTTTTAGACCTTGTAAAATTCTTACTAGTAATTATTTCAAAAAGTTGTCGTGACAAAAGTTTTACTATATACTGAAATATAAGCAGTTTAAATTTGATTGCTATAGGTTCATAAATAAAAAAGCCTTAGTATTTTTAAAAGTACTGAAAAATTCAAAATGGCGGAGAGGGTTTTTTTGGGTTTCCATGACAACCAAAATTGTTTTCGACCCCTTTTTTTGCTGTTTAATACTTACTTTTATATGCCAAATATGATAAAAGTATTCAAAAGACTTTAGATCTTAAACTGTAAAAAATAGAAAAAAACATAGCATATCCCCTTAAAGAGGTTTGCGGTATTTTCTTTTTTTTTTTAAATTAATAAAAACAAACATTCGTAACGATATTTTATTTGCGAAACACGAACATTGGACTTCTTCTTCGTTCTTAATTATTAGTGTTGAAGGGGATCAAGATTTATCTGCCAGTGGGTTTGGAACTCGAGACTTTGTTCGAATTTATCAACCATGAGCTTTTTGCCGACTCGACCACGCCTCCAACACAATTAAGCGTTACGTGTCAACTGGTTATGCGCCATTGAGGCCATTGACTCAGATTTCAGCCTGCTTTTCTTTTTGGATTTGCTTCCATAGCCTTTGTCCAACCAAGATCAATCTACAAGGCAGCAGTTGTCTCTCCTAGAAGAGTGGTTGTCCCCAGCTAACGAGCCTCTTCTGCCCGAGGGTTCGAACTCGAGACTTTTCGGTTTAGCAACCATGAGCTTTTACCGACTCGACCGCGCCGACCCCTTGAAAATTGGACAAATAAGCTCACAGTCTATTAGGTCTATTATTTGAACGTAAATTTGTCCAAAAATATTTCAGCAAACAAAACATTCTAAATAATCAAAAGCAATGATAATATAAATATAATGTTATAACTTATCTATTTCCAGCTCCAACTTGTGGACAGCCACCTGCAATTGCAAATAGCAGCTGGTTACCATGTACCAGAGAATACAATACGGAGTGTGTGATGGTGTGTAATACAGGGTTTTCAAGTGAAGGTAATACTTCCATAACATGTCAACCTGGAGGCACATGGACATCTCCTGGAAGATGCAATGGTAAAATGTACAATATATGTATGTTATAATATATATATATATATATATATATATATATATATATATATATATATATATATATATGGATGTGCTCACATATTTTTATATTTTTAATGACATACAGGTATTTTTGTATGGTGTACTGTAGTTTAATGTAGTATAGTGTTATTTTTTAATTATTATGGTGTGGTGTGGTTTAGTTTAGTACAGTAAATTAAGTGTAATTGGTCCATTTCATTCTAGTCTTATCTAGTGTTGTCTTATTTAGTCTTGTCCGGGACAATTTCGTTCAAGCTAATGTAATCTAGTGCACTGTCATTTGGTGTAAAGTAATTAAATATTGCTTAGTGTTGTCTACTGTAATCCAGTGTTCACTAGTTAAGTTTACTGTATAATATTGTTGGCTAGCTTAGTTAAGCTTACTCTATTGTGGTCCAATGTACCATAGTGTAATGCAATTTTATGTAGATCAGACTATTCTACTATGATACATTGAAGTCTATTGTATATTACGGTTTGGATTGTTATGGAAATCAATAAATTTATAATTAAAAAACACCGAAACAATTTGATTAGACGCTTGGAGTGATTCTAAATGTTTGTCATTTTTAAACTGTTCCGTTTTAGAACAAAATTGAAAAAATAAAGTTTTTATAAGAACCGTTTTTAAAATATTAGGTATATTATCTTTTGCTGATTATATTTCTGACATACGAAAATTAAAACAGGGAAAAACGTTGTCTTTAAATCTAAGTAGGCGTACAGTCTATCGGTCTATTATTTTATTTACGTTAGTTCGATCATAACTAACATAGAAATAATAACAAATTAAATATTACAAAAAAATAGAATATAAATCTATCTTATAGCTGATATATTTCCAGCTCTAAAATGTGATC